TGTCAGTTACTATAGAGGCTGAGAAAAATGCAGAGAAATGACTTTTCCGTGTAATTAATCTGGATAATTTAAATTTCAGTATTGTCACTGATTTAGGACTAATTAGCATGAGATGCCTCCTATACTCAAATAAAGATGCTTCATATATCCAGCTCCAGCCTGAGCTGAAACTATTATCATCTGTGTCATCATATCAGCATTCTCTAAGTGCTTTGTATGTTCCTATAATACAAATGTTATAAGGATTAGCTCTCATAATACATGCTACCCTAAGAAATACATACTATTATCTCCATTTTACTGATTCCAAAACTGAGGTTCAGAAAGGGTTAAGGAATTGACCAAGGTCAGAGTGTTTGTATATAGGTTATTATTACTTTATGTAGAACACTGGGATAAGTTTTAATACTATTAAATGTCAGCACTATACGTAGAGACTAGTAATTTAATTTGTCAGATACTCAACTATAAGATACCCTGTTTGCCCTCAACATAGAGGTGAGAAATATATATACTTTATATAATATAATATAATATAATATAATATAATATAATATAATATAATATATACTTTATATAATATATATACACACTCCCATCTCCTCTTGCCCATATACAGGGCGTAGAGATGGGAGTGAGAGCCAGAGCCAGAAAGAGAACTGGTATCTATCTTTAAAAAAGCACAGAATATTTTATCACACATATATGTTGGAATTAGAGACTAGTGATCATCATTTCTTGCATATCACACTTTTGTTATGAGGGTCCTATAACTAAGACTGAAGGGCTTTTCTCTCTTCCTTACTGAATGACTCAAAACAAAGATAAAGATAAATCTACTATAGAACTTGTTACTTAAAAGTAAATGAAGAATATTTGCAAAAGGAGGAAATCATTCTCTAATATGTATGTTTTGCATAAAAATATATAAACAAATGGTTTAAGCTAGTCACACTATGTAGCACTACCTATATATTCTGAAGATGGTTTAGGAACTCAAATAATAAGGCACATGAATAGTATTTTTTTAGTAGATTTTACTAACTAGATCTGCACTCATGGACTCTGGACTCTGCTTTTTTTTTTTTTTTTTTTTAAATAATACACTCACCTTTAAAAAAAATGGAATCTTGGTTCGCTATTCACTTGACCAAGAAAACCCCACAAAATCATGCAAATTAAGAGGTTCAGATCTTTAAGTTCACTTTAAGAACACTTGTGAAACTGACAAGGCTATCATGGGGATGGGAATACAAAAAGCCACCATGTATTTGAAGGATGTCATTTTATAGAAGCTACTAGAGGCTTGGCGGCGGGGGGGAGGAGGGGGGGTCCCTCAGCCCGGCCTGTGCCCTCTCGCAGTCTGGGACCCCTCGGGGGATGTCCACCTGCTGGTTGAGGCCCGCTCCCCGGAGGATCAGGCCTAAGCTGGCAGTCAGACATCCCTCTGGAAGCCCGGGAGCCCTCGGGGGTGTCCACTTGCCAGCGGTGAGCAGGCCTAAGCTTCAGTCGGACATCCTTAGCGCTGCTGAGGCGGGAGAGGCTCCTGCCACCACCGCTGTGCTGGCAGCCATCAGCCTGGCTTGTGGCTGAGCAGTGTGTGGGAGCGCACTGACCACCAGGGGGCAGCTCCTGCATTGAGTGTCTGCCCCCTGATGGTCAGTGTGTGCTACAGTGACCAGTCATTCCCAGTTGTTCTGCTGTTAGGGTCAATTTGCATATTACCCTTTTATTATATAGGAATAGAGGCCTGGTGCACGGGTGGGGGCCGGCTGGTTTGCCCTGAAGGGTGTCCCGGATCAGGGTGGGGGTCCCACTGGGGTGCCTGGCCAGCCTGGGTGAGGGGCTGAAGGCCGTTTTCAGGCTAGCCACGCCCCCCGGCAACCCAAGCTCCCAGCCTCTCTTTTTTTTTCTTTGATTTATTTATCTTCTATAATTGAAACTTTGTAGCCTTGAGCAGAGCCCAGGACCTGCCAGGGAAGGTGGGAAGCTTGGCTTCCTCTATCGCCAAGGGCAACCCAAGCCTCCTGCTCACTCCAGCTCCGTGGCTGCTGCCATCTTAGTTGGGTTAATTTGCATACTCGCTCCTGATTGTCTTGTGGGCGTGATTTGAGCGTATTGGAGGGATGGTTAATTTGCATGTTTCTCTTTTATTATAGAAGCTATATGCACTATTCTGTCGTTACAATGGTGGAGTTGGTAGGTGTGTCCAGTCCAAACAGTTGTGCTGGACACAGAGTCAGTGGCCCAAAAAGAGTGCTAAATTTTTGCTGCACATACTTAAAAATGTAGAGAGTAATGCTGAGCTTAAGGGTTTAGATGTAGAGTCTCTGGTCACTGAGCACATCCAGGTGAATAAAACTCTTAAGATGAGGTACAGAACTTACAAAGCTCGTGGGCAGATGAACCTATATATGAACTCTCCCTGCCACATTGAGATGATCCTTACTGAAAAAGAACAGACTGTTCCAAACCAGAAGAGGAGGTTGCACAGAAGAAAAAGATACCCCAGAAGAAACTTAAGAAACAAAAACTTATGGCCTGAGAGTAAATTAAGGATGAAATAAATACTGATAAAAGTAAAAGAAGGAAAAAAAAAAAGAACTTGGAAGATCGCCTATAAATTACATTGCCCAAGCCTTCTATTTATAAGTGAGAAAACTAAAGGATAGAGGCATTTCTTATATGGTGGCTTAAATGGTCCTTACATTAAATAACATTGAATCACCTAGTATGAAAAGTATTCTATTTTTACTATATTATTTATTCTATGTCAAAGAAAAAGTTTCAATCTGGTGCTAGTATGCTTTTAAAACCTCTGTAACACTTGCTAATCAGACTGAACACACCACTACCAATAGTATTCAACCAAACTTTAATAACTTTGTTTGAGTTGCATTTATTTTTACCATTCTATTTGTAACAAGATTATATTAGTTTTATGCTATAAACAGTAATAACATATGTAATATATTTTTCTTTTAAAATAAAAAGCTAAAAATTAATATATATGAAAACACTTAAATGATAGAACAGGTGGAATAAAGATAGGAAGAATATCATAAAGTTAGTACACAAATGCCTGAAAATTGGGAAATGATGCATTATGAAAAAATTTAAATCGGCCAAACTATCTGATATCCTTTTGAATCTTTAAAAATATTTGTCCTCTTGCCCTAGCCGGTTTGGCCCAGTGGATAGAGCGTCAGCCTGGGGATTGAAGGGTCCTCGGTAGATTCTGGTCAAGGGCACATGCCTGAGTTGTGGGCTCAGTCCCCAGTAGAGGGCGTGCAGAAGGCAGCTGATCAATGATTCTGTCTCATCATTGATGTATTTTTCTCTCTCCCTCTCCCTTCCTTCTCTGAAAACAATAAAAGGACTTATATGCAAGTATATAGGCCTAACCAATGGACACAGACAACAGGGGGGTGAGGGCATCAGTGGGGGGGGGAGGGCAGGGGGTAACGTGGGGATAAAGACACATATGTAATAACTTAATCAATAAAAAAATTTAAAAAATAATAAAAAGAGAGCCATAACACAAAAATAAAATAATAATAATAAAATAATAATATATTAAAAAGAAAATTGCCCTCTAACCTAGGAGATTTAAGAAAGGATGTCACATAGTATAATAAATAAACCTGTTTGTCTTAATTGTACTATTTTGATTATAAAATTATTTTAAATAGTATTAGTAAGTTAGCAACAACAGCATTTTAAATTCCTGCCAATAATATGCTAAAATATTCCTCTTACTACATAGATAATATTCATCAAACCACAAAATGTTGTATATTAATAAAAACAAGCTAAAGAAAGTAATACCTTCTGTCTTTGAATGACTTGAAATATTTAAATCACATCCTTTTCTAACTTCCGTCCTTGTTTCTCTTTCTCTTCTTACTGTAAAGAAAAACACCCCAAAGCACTCTTAAATAAAATATCTATTCACATACACTTAATTTAAGAAGGTTGAGGTATATAAATAAGATTTTAGAACAAAGAAAATATAACATGGTGGGTTAGAGGAACATTAAAAAAAAGAACAAGAATAAAGAAAAGATTCTGAAACTAGAAAAAGTCTTATATTAATAAACTCAATTCCACCCACCAAATATGGATGAAAGAAAAGTCAGTGTACTGTGGCATTCAATTCACACTGAGAATCAGTGGATGAATGACATTAGAACTTAGAAAAGGCTATGCTGTATAATAACATTGGATATTTCCAGGGGCCGCTGCTTCTCACTAGCTGCAATCAAACTAAAGTGACACCTGTTCCCCCCAAAACAGGGACTTCCTTACTTCCACCTCAGGAACCTTTAGTCAATACATGGCGAAAAGTGGGAAAAACCTCACAAGAATGACTTTGCCAACTCTGACACACCTCACTTATACTAAACAATGGCAACACCAAGAATAAAGGGAATGGGATGATAAATTTACATAGTCCATTCTAACCAAGTCCATGTGTAAATCAAGATAATCTAAATTCTCTGCATGTTGTATGCTTAGGTCTCAAGTCCTTTTTGATAAAGGCAGAGCATAAACAAATACTACCCTACATACGAAAAAGAACAGGGGTCTTAAATCTCAAGTGATAACTGTGAAAGGTTGCAGAGTTGGGGCATGGAAAGAACTCCTGTGTTGTGTCACTGGGAACAATAGTACAGTAATACTGTAGCCAAGGAAAAGCAAACAAGCTTTTGGTGACCACCTTAAGGGCAGAGGTTTAGAGAGCTAATACACTAATTGCCTAAATTCATTTGTAAGGGAGTATATGCAACACTTTGGGTTTGCTCAGTAGGAACTCCATGTTGAGGTGCCAGTATAATCAAAACATGGTCAATATCACTGATATAAAAATGAATTCAAGGGTCGTATCTCTTAAAGATCAATAAATTTGGACAGAAAGTATTCAGTGCTAAAATGGTTCAGTGGTAGAATAAGTATATGTATTTTACAATTGTGGTCTACTTGTTGATCCAATGCAACAGGTCAAAGATTGAGAAGCAATGGAAAGGCCATGTCTACAGAGGGAGAAGGACAATAGACACTAGGGCTGTGACTTATCAGAAAACGAGGAGCCTGCTGACTGTGAGTAGGCTGTGTCATGTGCCTTTAAGTAGGGATCCTTAGAGTTTATTGTTGATAACTGCCCATTATCAGAGCTGTTTTACAAGGGCTTTCTGTACCCTTGTTTAGAATGAGCTGTTTGGGATCCTGTACTTTACTAAATAAGGGAAAAATAGGTAAAAGGAGCTTCATCCTTCTTTTTCAACCCTTTACTCATCTATCATCATACATCCTGATTTGTATTAGCTCTAGCTCTCAATTCTGTCACTGACATAGTCCAAGGATGGATTCACGTTTGTGGTGATAATTCAAACAGTCCTCTATGCCTATATAAATACTGCTGACAAAGTCCCAGCATATGGTTCATAAACTTAAGGGATTCTGAGGGCTACCTATGGACCATCTTTAATTTGGGGGTTTGGGCATTTATTTTTCAAGATAATCCTGACAAATAACCATTAGAACAAATACAGAGATGTTACATATTTTACTAAGAGACATGCAATAGCTACAGTGTTGCTTTAAATTTATTACTTTTCAGAAAAGTCAGTCAAAGGAAGCTCAAAGATCCAGCTGTCATATAAGAGCCAAGAATAACATTAAAACGTAAAGAGTTTCCCCAGATAATAGTGATATTCACCATTGACTGGAGAAGCATTTTCACAATCGTAAGTCAATTGCATTTATAAGTTCAAATAACATCTTAAGAGATGTTTTGAAAAATATACATAACCTTGATTATGAAGAGTATCATCAATTATAGTATGAAATCTAACATCTGGCGCCACTTCTCCCTTAGAATGAGATGGCTGTGAAGTACCCGGCTCAATATTTGGAGTCACTATAGTATAACGAAGCAATTCTTCATACTCTTCCTATGAGAAACCAATAATAAATAATGTTTTATAACACTGTCGCAATGGACACTCAGGCAAAAGAATAACAAAAGCTGTACATATTTACTATGTATAAAAGTGTATAGCTATTTTATATTATTATATTTTGAAATATTTTCAACAATAGGACATGGGTAGCTTTCAACTGTAGTCAAGACTCAATTTCCAGCCCCTCTCCCCTCCCGGGAAGTTTGGGGGTAGGACTGAAATTGCCAATCCTCTAATTACATGATTGGTTCCTCTGGCAACCAGCCCTCATCTTTAGGTGTGGGTGCAAAAGTCACCTCATAACAAAAGACACCTTTATCATTCTCATCGCTTTAGAAATTACAATGTTTTAGGAGCTCTGTGCCAGAAACCAGGATGAAGACCAAATATATATTTATTATAAATCATATCACAAGTATAAATGAGTTAATTAGGTCCCTCTAGAAACACGTCTGGATAAGACAGAGATGAAGAGTACAGGAAAGCACTGACACCTAAAAAGATGGCATCAAGTTGGAGAGATACCATCCAAAGGGAAGGCAAGGATACAACATCTGTCACAATTCCCGAATGCTTCTTTACTAGTAAATAATCAGATACTTTAACAGCAGCTTCCCAAAGTCTAAATTTGTAATTTCAATTAAAGGAACACATTTGCTCATAAAATATTTTCTTGAAGCTTTTCTCATATTATACTTACTCAACATAATGTACCAAACATAATGTCCAGCTTTTTTCCTCTTAAGTGATATAATTATAAAACTCAAGATATACCATGTTAGTATTCTCTCGATTAAAACCTACTCTAGAAATATGAATCCATATTTTTGATAAAACATTTAGAAATAAAAGAAATTCAGAAATTTCATATAAAACCCATACCTTCTGCAGTCAATTTATCTGTCACTGTCCAAGCAGCAGAATGTGATGAATGTTGTGGCAACAGGGACTAGAACCTAGAGTAGAACACTAAGGAATCTAGGCCTCAGAACTTTGGATGGTTTGATGTTGTATTAATTGGCATTAAAGTGAAAGCAGCATTCATAAAGAGATAGCTACAATGAGAAAATTCCAAGAAAAAAATGTTTGAGATTTACAGCTTCTCTCATTGTGTTGTTTGAAGCCTTTGTACAAAGAGTAAAGAGCTCATGATTATTTTCAGAAAGATTAAAATAATGTAAGGCATTTCCCAAAGTCTGTAAAATAATTCCTAAAGTTTGGTATAATGTGATATACATTATACATTATATACACACTAGAGGCCCAACGCATGAAAATTTGTGCAAGAGTAGGCCTTCCTTCCCCTGGCTGCTGGCATCGGCTTCCCTCTGGCAACCGGGACCCCAGCTTCCCTCCTCCGGCCATCGGCAGGCACCCAGGGCCGGACGGCTTCCCTCTGGTCCGGGCTTCGTCTGGAAGGACGTCTGGTCTAATCAGCATATTTCCCTTTTATTATTTTTGATTATAATTATAAATGTAAATGGCATGAATGAAAAATGTATTCCTAGTTTTCCCTCATACTATTTGTTGAAAATAAGTAAGTCATAACAAATTTAGACATGTCTTCCTACCTGAAGATCTGAAGAGCTTGAACTGTTTTGGTTGCAGTCATTCTGCATAACTGGAAATGAGTATTTCTCCTCATCTGATGACATTCTGTAAAAATACTATAAAACAGTAAACGTTAACTTTAGTTTTCCCCCCTCAATATTTAAACTAAAATAGAATTCCTTTTATAGAGATGGAACACCATCCAAAACAATAATTGTGATATTTTAAAATCATTCCACATATTTGAGCAACCATAGACAAAATCACTGGACAGGAAAAAATAGTTAAAGACTCAATTCCCAAAATTAGTGACTTTATAAAGTAGTAAAGGAGATGAAACAAATACATGAAAGGTTAAAGAAAAATGGAGGCTCCTCAGAAACATCCGCACAGTAGAGGGTTGAGAATAATGGATTGTGATCTCTATTCTTAACAATGTGTGACGACCTAGATGTTGTGCACTTTCTTTGAAGATGCTGAACCAAGGAGAATGAACAATTTGAGCAAATTCCCTGCTTGGGAAACTTACCTTTTGGAAGTATTATTTTAAGAAAAGTAAGCCTATACAAAACAACAGATTCTAATACGCACATAGAAAAATTGTTGAAAGTCTTAAAAATAAATTTAAAAAAGTACCTTTAGTAACTAGTAAGTAAATTATTTAAAAGACAAGTAGTGAATATTCAAACTATCTGAATACTAGTAACACGTAAGACATTGGTGAGGAAGTAAGATGAGTCCTCAAGGACTTACAATCTATAGGGAGGGGCCAGATAGGTATATAAGTGACTGATGAAAAAAGTGCTAATAGACCCTATATAAAAGAGGTGCAAATAAAGGAGGCAGGAGTAGCCATTTTTCATGGGGTGAGATCCTGAGGGTGTGAAGAAGTAAGAATGGAGCCAGAGAAAATTTTAATAGAGAAAATGACCCCAGTGTTGCGATCTGAAAGACAGATAAAAGTTATCAGGGTATACTAGGCAGTAGAGTTGCATAAGCAAAGACACAGAGGCATGGAGAGGTATGCTAGGAACGTAAGTATAGTAGTTAAGGCTGTAAGCAAAGGGTGTAAAGCAAGGCTTGGCTGAGAGCAGCCAGATCACGGAAGATCATGATTATGTCATGTTAAAAAGTTTGGTCTTTATTTTAGAGAAGTTATTAAAATGTTTTAAACAAGTGATGACCAGATCATGCTTGTCTTTTAGAATGATCACTCTGGCAACTTTCAAGATGAATTAGAGAGTTGGGGTCCTGAAGAAAGAGAGATCAATGGAGAGCCGAATGCAGCAGTCCAAGAAGTAAGTGTTCCCTCTGGCAGTAATCCAGGAGATAAATGAGGACCCGAATCTAGGAGTCAGCAGTGGGAAGTAGATGGAGGGTATGACTATGAGACCGTTGTGTTATGGCAATGAAAATGAGAGACCATGGTTAATAATTGGTTCAGGGATTAAAGGGAGGAATTGTTAATGGCTTCCAGGAGTCTGACTTGAGTAACTAGATAGATGATAGTGCCACTCACCAAGCCAAGAAATGTAGGAAGATGAGCAGGTTGAGAGGAAGAACACTAGGTTCAACATCAGATGTTTTGGGTGTGCAGTACCTGTGAGGCACTGAGATGAAGCTGCAGGTATGTAGCATATGGCCACCCTGTACGCTGTGCTCCAGCCAAGGACTGCCACTTACAGTGGTTGCAACGTGAATGGTGCTTCCTGGAGTTAAACAGTGTGGGAGCCCTGCTTTGGAGCTTTAGGTTGAAGGTACAGTTTGAGGAATCATCAGCATAATAGGAAATGCTGAAGAACGAGAGGATAAGATCACTGATGAAAAGGAGCGATAGAAAAATTTCTTACTCCGAAGTCCATATACCCAAATTGTATGCACTATTTTTAGTATAAATGCACATGCGTGTATTTTTCTAGGAAGAGGATCCTTAGCTTCCAATACGTGTTCAGAGGAAACTACAACCCTAATAAAGTGAAGGGCCACTACCATAGTGAGACAAAGGTTAAAACCACGACCACTAACATTTAAAGCGGGCGAGAAAAGCCAACAAAGAAGACTACAAAGACCAATAAAACTATCAGAAAGAACAGCATCACAAAAGCTTAGAGAAGGAAGTCAGAGTCACATACCAAAGAAAGATGAGAACTGGACAGAATCCCTTGAATCTGGCAGTCAGGAAGTTGCTATGACATTTCCCTGAACAATTTCAGTGGAAAGTAGAACAGGTCTCAATCACAGTGGGCTGAAAAGTAAGTGAGATGAGGAAATTGAAGCAGAAAGGGCGGATCCAGGGAAACCACAATATTAGAAGAAACATGGATTGGGGCTAGATTGTGGAAAGGATAGCTCAACTTTATTCAGTGGCTGTTCCTGAATATACACATGATAAGTGAACTAAATCTCTGCCTGCCTGTCCTTCGCTAAGCCACTTAGGAAGGATAAAATAAGCACATACATCTCAGCAAGGAATGGCTGCTCCACAGGACTTCAAACCCACCCCTGTGGTAACGTGGTCCATCTCTGTTTCCATCCACTTCTTCCTTTAGGATGTGCTTGCTGGTCAGTTAAGTATAGGAGTGGGGGTGGGGTGGGGCTGATTATTTAAAAAAACAAAGGAACTGCACAGTATGGTCGGACTTACAGGAGTCTTTGAATAGAGACATTGCAGACACTAACAACTACTGTACTTTTGGAAAATACGGGCTCAATCTTCCTCCTGCCCTGCTGTGATGCCAACAAGGTATGGCCGTTTATGGGAAACTCTGCAACGGTAGCATTAACTTCTCCTAGGTTCAGAAACAAAGGAGGAAAATGGAGCTTGCTTTCACGGGTGGCGGATGTACATCGGTTCACTAAATTTTCAGTGTTTTCTAACCCAAAACGTCAGAAACCAGGGATAAAAGGTTCCGAGGGCTTCTTTATGGCCAGGTAAACCAAAGTACGTCTTGGTAATCACCTGGCTGATGGGGAAAGAGGGCTCCTTCTGGGAACTCAAAAGTAAGCCCTAAGAGGCAGAGGAGGGGTGACAGGTGCAAGCCGGCGGCAGGGTGCGCCCCGCGCGGACCCGGTTACCTGCAGGCAAAGACAGGGCGCGCGGGCCGCTCCCACGCCGAGGGCTCGCAGCAGACGGGAAAGCAGTTGCGAGCCGGCAAAGGGCTAGTTCTTTCCGATCACTTTCCTACCCACCCGTTTTAATCACATTCTTACTTAAAAACAAGGAAGCGTTTGACATGGTTATTTCCCTCCCTTAACGTTTTAAACGGCCAGAGCCTATGGGACAGTAACCGCTATATTTGAGGCATCCCTCCTCATGCCCTCTCTTCGCCACGACTCGAAGAAGAAAACCTCGCGACCTTGCCGCCCCGCCGAACAGCAGAAAGGCCAGGTCTAGGGGGCGGTGCTCCCAGCCCGGAGCTCGGGGGCGGAAATCTGGGCCAAAGCACTTTAAAGCCCACTCCGCTGTCTCCGCCAGGGGCTCGGGGTCGCCCAGGGCGCCGCTACCCACCGTCGCAGCTCTCCAGGAACCCCGACTCCTCCGTCCGCGTCCGCCCGCCGCGTCCCTGCTAAAACCACAGCCAGTACCGGGGCTACCTTAGCAGCAGCCTGACAGTTTCAAACTGCAGAGAGGAATTAAGGACGGCCCTGGGCATTGGCCCCGACCTTCAGCAACCTGACGTGTGATTGGTCAGCCCGCCGGGGGCGGGGTCTTAGACCGCGGCGGGGAGAAACCGGAGTTAAGTTACTAGGGAAAGCCCCGCCCTCTGGTCCTGAGGGGGCGGGGTCTTAAGGAGCCCTGCGAAGCGTCTGGGAGCGCATGCTCAGTTCCGTTTTGCGACTGCTGACTGCAAGCCCCTTCTGAAACCGGATTTGGGCTGCTGAGCAGGGCCGAAGTCAGCCAGGGCGGAACGCTGTTGTCTTTCGATAACACCCAATCTATGCGTGTGGTCCTCATGCATAAAAGTCATCTGCGTCTACAGGTGCCCTGCAACAGGATCACTTGGAGGTGCTTTTTAAAAAAATACAGATTCCTGAACCCTCTCTCTCTGAATTCCTTGGGTGTTGAGCAGGGCCAGGGAATCTGAATATTTAACTGTGTTCTGGACACTGTACTCAACTCATTTAATTCTCAGATTATCTCCGTGATAGAGATGCTGTTTCCATCCTCGTTTTACAGATATGAAAACAAGCCCAAAGAGTTGACTTGCCCATGATCACATGGCTAATAAGAGCAGAACTGGTATTCAAATTAAGGTAGACTGGGTTCCAGAATCCATGTTCCTATCAGTAAGTCTGTTGGGAACAGTGTGACTGTTACAGATTAAATAGTGTCCTCAAAAAAAAAGATGTTCAAGTCCTAACTCTAGTACCTGTGAATGTGACCGTTCTTGGAAGTGGGGTCATTACAAAATGCAATCAAGTTAAATTAGATCATGCTGGATTGAGGTGAACCTAAATTCAATAACTAATGTCCTTATAGATGGAAATTTAGACACAGAGAGAGATACAGGAGAGAAGATGGAGGCAGAGATTGAGTGATGCATCTGTAAACTAAGAAACAGATGATTGCCAGCAACCACTAGCAGCTAGAAGAGGCAAGGAAAGATCTGCCAGCGCTTTCAGAGGGAGCACAGCCCTGCCGACACATTGATTTTGGCTTCTGGCCTCCAGAACTGAGAATACGTTTCTGTTGTTTAAGCCACCCAGTTTGTGGAAATTTGTTATGGCATCCCTAGAAAACAAATACAGTGGCCCAGACGTTGAGATAAGAAAGTGCTTATTGTATCTGGGGAATGCATCAAAGCCAGAAAGTAGTCTTAGTAAGGGGCAGAGTGGCACAGGATGAGGCTACAGATGGAGGTGGGGACCTGACTGTTAAGGATTTGAGATTTCATTTAAAGCTCAATTATATGTTTTCAGATGTTCCAGAAAGAGATGAAAACAACTTGAACTGAAGGGATGACCAGGGTATATTTCACTTCCATACATATCACACTGCCTGATTAGGCAGCTACTCACCCAGCTTCATTTTTATTTTTATTTTTTACTATAGAAGGGAATACATTTTTAGTGATGGATAGATGATATAGTGTCTATTTATGCATCCATCCATCCATCCATCCATCAAAAGAACATGGTAGATTATTTTTGGCAAGTGGCTCACAATGCATGTCTCCAAACAAATCTTTTGTAGCTGGACTACACAGTGTATTTAAAATCCTTCCAAAAGGATAGATTCATTGAATATGTTTTTTTAATGTTTATTTATTAATTTTAGAGAAAGAGAGAGACATCAATTTCTTGTTCCACTCATTTATGCATTCATTGCTTGATTCTTATATGTACCCTGACTGAGGATGGAACCTGCAACCTTGGTCTATTGGGACGATGCTCTAACCAGCTGAGCTACCCGGCCAGAGCTCATTGAACACATTTAATTGTGTCAGAGGATGTCCTCTCCAGAGGAAGAAAGACTGTCAATAAGCAAAGACACAGGTTGTTGGCAGGAATCATGGCTGCAGTGGTCTGCAGGTGAGGCAGTGTCGCAGTGCTGTGCAGGGGTGGGTATTTGTAGAGGAGTAAGAGCTTGTACAGAATATTTTGATTTCCTGGATTCCACAGTTGCATTTTGCTACACAGCACTTCCTGGCTCTTTTATTGCAGAAGGGAGTTTATTTCTTAGCTCTCATCATCCGCCTTCTGTTCTTCCTAATCATAAAGACTCATTCTTGAACCTCTCTGTTACCATCCTCTAGCCATATGAAAAAAGCTTCTTATCCTTAAAATTTTCTTTTCCTGATCAAACAATCTGGGACTAGCTGTGAGGCGGGATTAATTAGTTTTACAGAGAACAATGTTACAGAGTCCCACTGATGTTTGAGTGCTATACAGATGCTGTATTCGTGGGTCTTTAGGGCTTCTGATGGTGGGTTTGCAGATCAGCGTAATTCAGCTCAGAGAGAAAGGAAAGATCTTACATTTTAGAGTGCTTAACCCAAAATGTACATGAGTACTCGTTATGTACTAAGCAATGTGCTAGGCCATTTCACATATATTTTGCTACTAGTCATTACAAAATTCTGCATAATTAAATGATGGGACCAGAAATACATTCACAGTAAAAATTTAATTTGATAATATGCAAAATTGTGATGTGATATTAACCATTATTATATATTACAATACTCTATTGCATATTTATCTCTAAAGTTTAAGATTTAATTTTTATAATGACTTTTGCTCTTTAGAATTTTTATTAAGAAAAAAGCAAATACATAAACCCAGAT